TCTCAAGTTCTTGTATTCCATATCTTCGCATCCTTTCTTGAACAGCGGACTGACAAGAGCTTCTTTCCATGCATTTGGGAAATGACCTGTTGTTAATGACACATTAACCATTTTTGTGATAAAAGGGAGCAAAACATCCAGACAATCGATAATTAATGAAGTAGGCATTGGATCCGATTTACATGTTTTTTTAGCTGATTTTCGAATCAGAGTAGAAACATCCTTCTCATCTAGTAATTGAAAAGATTCCATGACCTGTATTTCATTGTCTATCTGCGGATTAGTTGGAACCAGTGCTCTATCTATCTCATCAACACCAGTTGAGTCAGTTTCAGTACGAACCTTGATAATCTTATGAACAAAAAATTTACCAATGTCATTCACAAGAATGTTTCTGTCCATTTGTTTAGGAAAAGACACATTGTTATTCTTTAATACAAGTAGTTTATTGGCTGCTCTAAATAGGTTCGTTTGGTTACTACTATTTTAGTTCACAAATTCGGTATAAAAATCCCGTCTAGCTTTATTTATAAGATGGGTAACATAATTCTTTAATCTTTTGAACATTACAAGATCTTCTGCTCGACGTGATTTCCGCCATTTCCTTTCAGCTTTTCTATGCCGAATGATTGTCTTGCTTTTTCCCAAGGTGGAATAAGTAAACAGGCAAAACTGCTGCTTAATGGAATATATGTTTAGGTGTCATTATATAAATTTGACCATCTTATTTGATATCATTGTTTAATAGCATATCCATTCCACACCAGCTTTGATGGCTCCACTACCGTTTGGAATTGTTGAAGAACAATTTGCTGCTCTGGACTTAACTGACGCATCAAATGATTCCAAGCTTTCTGTTAAAGCAATTTTTGGGCATGACAGGTTTAGGCGCAAACAAGATGAGGCCACAAATGCAATATTGGAGGGGAAAATTGCTTAATTTTAATGTCCACTGGTGGAGGAAAGTCACTGGTGATGCACCAAGTAAATATGCTAAGATCAAAAGGACTTGATGTATGTTACTTAAACTCATCAGTATGACAAAGTGATTGAGATGTTATTGTGCATAATATGTTGTTGGAGGCACCAGACTACAATTTTGTCTTCCTAACACCAGAAACTGCAGCATCATCAGATATTGTAAATGTATTGTCAAAGATGAAATCAAATGATACTTTAACTTACATAGTCATTGATGAATGTTATTGTATTGACATGTGGGGATTTGATTTTAGACCATCATATGGCAATCTTGGTGTACTTGCAAGTTTAAACTGTCAAGTCATTGCTTTGACAGCAACTTGTACTCCAAGGACAGAAGAGATAATATTGTCATCACTTAATCTTACCAGTGTTACCAGTTACCAGTGTTACTTTTATAGAAATCTAAAATGCCTAATTATTAGATTATTCATTTTATTTGAGCATACATATTATATTTTTATACAATTGGTCCTTGTAAAGGACTTATTTTAAACTAAAAATAGAAATTGTTTTTTAGAGTCAGATTTCAAAAGAAACCGCTTGTCTGACATTTTACAGCAACCTACACTGGTGCACACAACGTTTTGGCCACGTTTTGGTTGTTTTCTCAACAGAAACAAAAGGAATTTCAGTTAAAATTCTTACCTGATGAACATTGACAACATTCAAAATGTTTATCTCTTCTTGACGACTTTCAGTGCTATTAATAGCAAAATAAAAAGCCTTTTTGTTTTGTCACCGCACTCTGCGTTTGAAAATGCCGGCTGTCAAAGTCTGAATTAAAAACACCTCAAATATTTTAAAATTTTCTCACCTTTTTCATCCTTTGTTTATATTTTAATTAGTAATTTTTGTACTTTATCATTTTAATCCACCATCAAATTTCAAGGTTTTTCATAACATTGATCTTGAGATATAGGTATTTTTGACAGTAACTAAAATTCGCCATTTCCTTGCAAGTTGGGGAGTGCCAATGTTGCAACAGTTCGCCTGCAAACAGGCTCACTGGGAGAAAGGTGAGCCTGCACGGAACCATGCGTTTTATTCAATCATCCCCTTTTCGCATCTGCTAAACGCGAACCAATCAGCGTCGACTGCGATAAATAAACTGTCAGAATGACGCAAGGCGTGTATATTGTGCAACAAAGAAATATAATGTATATATGAACAATAATACGAAGCATTAGCTGGCCGCACAATATATATATTACTCGGAAATATAGAATTCTCCAGATAATAGATATCAATAAACATACAAATATAAAGCCGAATAAAATACTACCATTGGCATTGAATGTACAGTAATACTTATGTGCGACTGAAAGAACAACGTTCTGAATATTTGAAGCTATTACTAAAATACGGTCAGATAGATTGGGATTTGGAATACCGAATACGTCTAACTGTGGTCTAAATAAATGATAAATGAGCATCTATTTATTAATTTCTTCAAAATCACGAGTGTGCCAATAGTGGAAGCCGTATCGACGACGAAATTGTCAGCAGTTTATACAGTATTCAGTAAATAGTACAACGTTTAATGTACGATATATATTTATATCTAAATGACATGCCAGCGAGGATCAACAATATAATTATTCATACATATTTGGGTATCTTTTGTATGCCTTCGCTTGCTGACTTGCTCACTAGTGAGAATAATCTGTGAAGCCATGACGACCTCAAAATGTACTATACTATAGTCTGGTGTCAATCCGAAGATGAAATTCAGAATACTATTATAGTTTTGTGTATTGGATTTAAGCGATAGATTCTTTTCCTTTAGTTTCCATTTCTAGTTTTATTTTGTTCGATAGTCTTATAATATAAAAGTTCAAAATGCTGTTGTTGACATTTGCTATTTTTAGTAATTTTGTCAATGAGTGTAAGCCAATCAGAAGCCTGCGTTTCTATACGAACGCCACTACCAAGAAAACCTATAGTTCCGTGCAGGCCCTACTTTCTTTGTGTCGCCCGTAACCCAGGAGGGCCTGTTCGCAGGCTATGCAACAGTCTGCAACTTAATCAGGGGTGCCGGAGCCACGGGGGCAGCGGGGGCAACTGCCCATGTTGCCGAAACAGTGCGGGGGCGGCACAGGGGCAACAGGTTGGCCTTTTTCACCAGAACTGTGCTTCGAAATTTGTGTGGTATTCACAAGAATTGGAGTTTATAACTATTCTTAAGCAATGTTTAAGCAATCTTTGTTTAATTTTAACCAGTGATAGTAAAATTAATGCCAGAGGCTGTGGAATCACTTTTGTATAATTCAGAGTTATCAAAATCAAACGATTTTATGTCGTTCACGAGCTGAATGAAAAATTTGTGAAAACATGGAGTCCTTATAACGTCGGAAATGGCCTTTACAGAGTCTTTAATACTACTGCAAAAAGGGCACTTTCTTTCTAGCCCCCCAAAAGGGCATTTTTTCACTTTTAAAAAAGTGGGGAGGCACATGCCCCCATTGCCCCCAAGTTCCACGGCCCCTGATTAATGTTAAATCAGGCAATATAATAATAATAATTATAATGATTT